GGATTAATCAGATTAAAAATATTAATCATTTGACAGCCCTAGATAAAATATAATCTTATTGTAAACATAAAGTCATGCAGCAAAAGTTATCAGTTTTTTTGATCATTTATGTTTATAAGAAGTCAGCTGCATCAAAACAACCATAACTTTATTATTTCAATCAATCAATCACTCATCGTTATTTTTGGCAATTTTTTTATATTAAACATTAAAAAACAACAACAACAAACAAAACAGGAACAATAAACAAACTCAGAGGTGATAGGTGATGAGGTGATGGGCTGAAGCCAAGCTTATTGTTTCCTGTCCTATTTTCTACCCAACAACCAACCAACATATGTTCACAACACATAAATAAATCTACACACCAGATGAGATGTTATCATTATTTCACACACAAACACACAAAGCACAGAGACAACATGAGCCATGGTGATGAAGTGAAGTGGGTCATGTTGTTGTTTCCAGGTGTTCGTCACAGTCACTGTCCTACCTGTTTCACATGTCGACCTGTTTTAACACACCTGCTCTACTTCACCGGCTCATTAATGGGTTTCTACAGAACCCAGCTGAGGGGAACCAGGTGTGTTGGAGCAGATCAACATGTAAACATCCTGGTCCTCCTGGGTCCAGTGCACCTGCTTCAGCCTGTTAATCCTTTAAAGCAGGTGTGTTGGAGCAGAGAGCTCCACATCTACATCCTTATAGACTTCAGATGTTGTGCATGTTCCCCACTCCTCTGAGGAAATGTCCTGCTCTGGTGTGCATGTGAAGGTTTCCGGGCCTTCACCACAGCCAAAGACGGCTCCAAGTGTCTGGRCATGGAGTACGGAGGTGAGCAGTCGCTCAACGACCTCATCGAGAGGAGGAGGGAGGATGGACTCGCAGCTTTTCCTGCTGCCGTGGTGGAGAAGGTGGCTCTGCACYTGGCTCGTGGCCTTCAGGTAAATAAACTTCTCAGATCAATCATTCCACCAGGAGAAGATGTATTTCTGAACGTTGTGTGTGCAGTATCTTCACAATGAGAAGAAGCTGCTGCACGGAGACATGAAGTCGTGTAATGTGGTCATCAGAGGAGACTTTGACACGGTGAAGATCTGCGACGTTGGTGTTTCTCTGCTGCTGGATGACAACATGACAGGTGAACCTTATTTCACCAGGTTACAACTGTTTCTTTTCCACATGTGGTTGTAGCTGAGCGTGATCTTCTCGTGTCCTCAGTGTCCGATCCAAACGCAGAGTACATCGGCACRGAGCCGTGGAAACCTAAAGAAGCTCTGGAGGAGGAGGGAGGACACATCACAGATAAGGCTGACATCTTCGCCTTCGGTCTGACCCTGTGGGAGATGATGACTCTGTCCATGCCTCACATGGACATGCTGGACCCAGGTGACGTGCTCTGTGGACCACCTCAATCTAAATAACTCAATAAATACACAGCTGCAGCTTTTTACACAGGTTCATGCAGGTTTCACCAAGTTAAATTTAAAACCATTAATGATGACATTTAAAACCATTAATGATGACCTATAAATCCATTAATAATGACATTTAAAACCATTAATAATGACCTATAAATCCATTAATAATGACATTTAAAACCATTAATAATGACCTATAAATCCATTAATGATGACATTTAAAACCATTAATAATGACATTTAAAACCATTAACAATGACATTTAAAACCATTAACGATGACATTTAAAACCATTAACGATGACATTTAAAACCATTAACGATGACATTTAAAACCATTAACGATGACATTTAAAACCATT